CGGATGATATTCGAATATTCGAATATATTTATATACACAGACCATGTTTTCAACATCAGTAATCAAGCAAACTAGTATAATATAAATTGCATTTAAATTACTAAGATTTCATGATATTAGCATAATACAAAAATTTAAAGCATGCAATTTTTAGTAGTTATATTTTACTCCCTCCGTTTGGAAAAAATGTTCCTCTTTTGACTTTGTGTAAAAATAAGAAAGTATTAAATTGTAGTTGACTTCCAATTTTGCCCTTGATGTGATAAGTAAAAGTAAGATGTGATGGATAGATTATTAGAGATAAAATATGATGTGATAGGTAGGGTATGAAAAAGTAAGGGTAAAAGTGGTTTTTTAATAGAAAGTGGAAGTGTTTTGTTGGAAGGGAAAAAAATGAAAGAGGAAGTGTTTTTGATAACGGAGGGAGTATAAAATATAATTTGTATAAGACAAAGACGTATTAATATTTTTAGATATGGTATAAGAAATATAATAAGTTAAATTATTCAAAATCGACATATAAATTACGAAGTATAATTATTCAAATATTCGTTTAGGATTCGTTAAATATTCGAATATTAATCAAATACAAATACAAATCTTATTTTTAATTCGTTTTATATTCGTATTTGAATTCATATTCGAAAAAATTATTCAAATACAAATTCAAACATTATGATATTCGCTTCGATTCAGTTCGTTTACAACCCTAGCCACCGCCCCCCAACTCTCATTAGCCATTTCCCGCAATCGGTTATCCCTACCTGTTAACAATTTCTATCATCTCTCAAAATGTTCTTACATTAAATTTCAGAATATATATTGGGCTTGTTTGAGAATAATATTAGAGATTAGCGTTAGCGTTTTGAAAAAGCTATCTACGGGCAACGTTTAGCGTTTTCAAAGTAATCTGCACCGTTAAAATTTTATCCAAAACGCTTACGCTAATCTCTAACATTATTCCAAAGCAGACCCATTATATTAACTTTTCAAAACTCACTTCTCCTAAAGCGTGAATTAAACCCGTCCATGAATTGAACCCCATATATTTGATATTTCAATCACAACTTTTGAAACTCCCAATTATGTGCCTGATTGAGTTCATTACATTATATGGATTAGCACATTAACCACTTTCCTGCCATCTGTAGCATAATAACAGGAATTGATAAATGATAACTACAAGAACTCATTTTTTTCCTTGTTTATGTAAGTTTTTATTTTTTTAAAAAAAAATATTTGAAGTAAAAATGGACTTTCTTTAATTTGGCATGTGAGTGTGGCAGGAGAGAAAAAAAATGTTGCTTTGGGTTTGAGGTAATTTGGGGGATTGCATATACTTACAAAACAAGTAATGGCCCCATTGCTAGGGTTGGACTTATAGAACACAATAAATGCAATGGAGTAAAAGAGAGATATATTAAATCATCACTTGCTAAAAATAGGCTAGCAATTTCAAAGGCTTTTCTCCACTAACATCATGCTTGCATTCAAATGGCAAAACCTTCTTCCAAACTTTGCTTTGGCTCAACATCCTCATTTAAAGATACATGTCCCCTCACTCACATGTTGCCCAATATTCCATCTTCCATTAATTTCAACTTCTTCATTATTTGCCACTCAGTGACCGTCCAACCGATTCTGAAAGGGTTCTCGAGAGAGGGTTTATCTTCTTTTATCGACTTCTTTTTTTGTGGTGAAAGGTTATTGTTGTGTGTTCTCGATTAATAAGTATTTGGCGCATTGAAGAAAACTCATAAGCCCGAGGTTGATGGCACATTGTTAAAGATTCAGGAGTAGACCTCGATCCATGACATGGCCATGGGCTCGGGCTGGGTCATCATATGTATGTANGAGGATGGCTTTTGGTCTCCGCATCTTAAGCCGTCCTCCTGGAGCGGCCCAACAATGCCTTTGTTTGAAGGTCGGGCTTTCCACACATGCACATAGATACCACTTTGGATCTGTTGATTTGAATTAGAAAAAATTCCCTGCTAAAATTTTCAATTTATTCCAATTTTTTCTAATTCCTTACCGTTTTTTTCAACAACGACTAAAAAAAGTATTTACGTATTCTTAGAGCTTGTTTGGGAGTGATTAACTTCTGGATAAAGTGATTTTCACAAAAGTTGAAAGCAAAAGCACCTCATACTTGCTTCTCCAAAATGGTGTTCTGTGTATAAAATAGTAGTGGTGAAAAGCAGAAGCTGACATACCAAACAGAATAAAATCACTCCCACTCAAAGCAGAAGCTAAATTACTAAAAGCAGCGCACTGCCAAACACTCTCTTACTTGAAATCAGTCACAATCTCCATCTCTAAAATCTGAACATAAACACCAAAAATGTGTGTATGCGCATCATATATAAACACCAAACAATGTCAAATTTTGTTCTAAAGTAATGTCATTCCACTACAAATTAAAATACTTCTTCCATCCCGAAATAGATTGCAATCATTTTTTTTCTCTTCTCGATAACTTTTGTTTATTTGTGCATTTTCATTAACTAGTTGATAAAATAAAATATTCCTATCACCTCTCATTTTGTAGAACTTTTGATGTATTTTCTGATATATCATTTTTATTTTTTTAATGTACCAATTTGTAAATAAAATAATTTCAAAAGACGAGAGATTTTGTCTCGTAACTCCTAATTTTTAATCAAATTAGGTACCGAGGGAGTATATTGGTATAAAAAAAATTAATTTCTTAATTGAATGAAAGGTTAAAAAAAATTGATAAAATGATTTTTCTTATTTGTGACTCATGGAGTTATAATACATGGGCAGTGGGTCACGTGGCAACAACTTTGCAGAATGAACAAAATAATTGTGGGAATAAGCAGAGCATTAAGGTAAGCAACCTTATCTCTTTATACGGGAGCTTGTTTCCCGGAGTCAAACCAATGACCAAACGGGTCACGTGACAACCATTCTTAGTTCATACGGAGAGTATTTTAAACAAGGAAAGAATAGGTGGAAGTATGGAACCGGTGCTCTTATATCTCGACCCGACAGGATTGTAAGGAATAAATCACAGTTTAATTTTAGATTGATGTTCAGAAAGATTGTCGTGTACTTGTTGATGTGTACAACGAATTGTCACATTACATAAGACTTTTACGGTGGCGTTGTCAGAAACCGATCCTGAAACCTCGAACTTAACACTGTGTCTCCATGACCATGTGAGCTAGCTATATATGTGGGTTCCAGACTTTGGACGATAATTTTTTTATACTCGTTGGTCCATTGCATAGCAACCCCACCACAAGAAATCTCAACCTCTAGCTTGAACTTAGGATTAGTGTACACCGTTTGCCCTACTCATTTGGTCATACCTCAATTGGGGTTAGGATTTTTTTTGAGTGCGGGTATTAATGATACTTGTAAAAGCATAATCAAATTCTCAAACTCATAAATATGTGAAAATAAGTTCATTCTGTGAGTATGATGACTCAAACTCAACTTCCTTACAAAAAGAGAATTTTAAGTGCGGAGTGATTGTCATCGAACCACTCCTGCTGGTGGGAGAATTTTAGAGAGGAGATCGGACCATCCCCACTGGGACTCTTTAGTCTTGAGAGAGGGAGGGGGAGTTTTAAGAGTTGCTTCTCTAAATTTTATCATTAACTATTAAACACAGAGATTTAAAAAGATACTACCAAATTACATTTGACCCGTTATAAAAAGTTAAACTATCAAGAAGGGGTAACTAAAAGAAAAGATCATATATGGAAGCATATATTGGTGTAGTGACAAGAAAGTCACCCCACGTGAAGCTTTACAACAGCCAAACTTCAAGCCCCATTCTTGTATTTAAGAGGTTGGGATAATTAAATTAAACACATACTACATTGACGAGTATGTGAGCTACTAGAAAAAATACAATGACCGTTCTGAAGTGTTTGTTTTACTTTAAACTTTTTGTACTTAAAATTGATAAAATTTGATCATAAATTGAATAAAATTTATATTGTACTCCGTATTAGATATTGGTACACAAAATAATTTTAAGAAATCTATTTGAAAAATATCTTCAAAATATTTTTTTTATCTAATTAATATACCATATACAAAGTAAGTTTTTATTTAATTGTATGTCAAAAACTGATCTTAGTTCACTGTAAAAAGTCTAAATCGAACAACCTCTCCGAGACCTAAGGGAATGCTATTTTAGAAAAACTTATATGTAGTACGTTATACTCCTTTTTATTTGATGAAATGTCTAAGATATTGATCCATTTATCATCAAACTGAACACCACATCAAATTATCAAAACAGCATATAGGTATGGCCGGCAAACATGAACGAAGGGTGGCCGATTGACGAATTCAAACAACACATAGAATGCCCAAAAAAGGTATCCTTCGCGATTACTATAGTCAATCGGCTAAAGGAGAGAGAGATGGGGGTGCATAGATTGGACGGGGAAGTTAGTGAAAATAAGAATCATCAATTTTTCGAACAAAACGCCGTAAAGACCTAAACTAGAACTCATGTCATAATATGACATTGGTAACAAATATTCAATGAACCGCACCGTGATACTCTCGATAGTTTAATCTAAATGGATTTTTAGGTTTTTCACTAGGGCATCTTCAAAATAAGAGAGAAACCAAGACAAATTAGAACTTACTATCCTTGCCATAATTTAATGGAACGTTTTGTATTAAATTGATCTACAACCAAATGGTATAGAAACCAAACATGCAAGGTTAAACAAAACTTTACACCAAAAACATAACACAGTATAATTAAGACTCAACAGATGTTCACAGTAATACTCTTATAAAAAAAGAAGAAAAGATGTTTCCTAACCAAAACTTCATTTAGAGAAAGAAGCAATGTAAGATTAATGTCTTTTTAAAACATTGCAAATAATAATAATAACAATAATAATATTGATAATAATAATAACAACAACAACAATAATAATAACAATAACAATACTAATAACAACAATAATACTAATAACAACAGTGATGGCATACTACTGCAGATTGCAAAATGCTCATTCAATTATCAGTCTATCACAGTTCAGAGCAATAATAGAGAATCCAACTTTAATTCTCTAATAACACCAGCAAATGATCCTATACTTTACTTCAATTTAGAAAGGCATGTATGTTTTATTATTTCTTCTTTAAACTTCACAGATCTTATATGACAACAACAAAAAATCGACCTGGCATGATAACCGGATTTGCAAAATCGCGCTTTTGTAGGACGGGTTGATTCATCACACGAATTGCAAGTTGTGCGCTTCCAAAGCATCTTGCAAGCACTGAACTGACCCGTTGTAGTTGAGAAAGCCCATGAACCAAAACTCATGGGTGTCCACTGATATGACCTGGATATATTTTTCTGAAGGATTCGTTCTGCTTGATGAAGGATTAACAGCCTTTAGCTGATGCAAAGGGATAACTACCTATACACATTGTGCAGATATATATATATATATATATGTGAGATCTAAAGAATGCATAAATACAACAACCATGTACACCTTATCCCTACTCGAAAGTAGAGAGACTATTTCCAAAGGACTCCAGCTCAAACATTGAAGAATAGACAAAGTAGGTGTTTCTCTATGCTTATAAGTTGGTCAAACTGCTTATAGCATGATTTTAACTAATAAGTCAACTGATGACGTGTTTCTCCGTAGTTATAAGCTAGAAAAAATAAGTAGGTCTTACTTATTTTTAAGCTAGTTTTTTTGTTTCTTCGTTTTGACCAGATTATTTACAAAACTATCCCTTATTTATGATGAATAACTCCTAATGACTTATATATCATTCAAGTCATTTTATCTACACAAAAAAAATATTTAACCAATAAGCAACTTATAAGTTAAACACTTCTTATCATCGATAAGTCAATAAACACCAACACATAAATACCCCCAAAGTAAACAATAACACTAACAAAGTAAGAGCACCAAGACACTAGCAACTAGGCCCAAGGTACATGCTAAAGATAAAAACGCAGCAGCAAAAATTGCAAACTAAGACTTAAGTCTACCCAACTACTCTAATCCTAGATCTTCAAGTGTTCCTATCTAAAGTCATATCTTCGGTGAGATCTTGAAGTCCTAGATCATATCTCAATGCATGAATACAGTTGTCCCAAAAAGAATAACAAATACAGCAAATATATCATTATGAAATTGCATTGCCCTTCCGTTCTTTTCTTTAACAGTTGCTTTGGTGGTAAAATTATGTTATCAAGATAGCATTAATGGCTTAATTTTCACCATTACTCTTCTACATTCTCAGTATTTCAAGCCCTAATTCGGGTTGGATATGAGAAATACTTTGTATTTACACTATTGATTTATTCTTCCATTTAGATGGTAGGAAAGAAATTGAAACTGAAAATATCATATAGAAATACACTATTTATAGATATTATTGCCTAAGGCCATGTTCTCTTCACCTGATCTGATTGGTTCTAATCTGATTGGAATAAGTTCCGATCTGATCTGAATGTAGTTATATTTAAAGTTATTTCTGATCTGATCTGGTTTATCTGATTCCAATCAGAATAAGTAATAAGTAAAAAATAAATTGGAGAGAACATGGCCTAAGACTAACAAATAGAGATAAAAAAAGTAAATACTAGCTATCCCCTTTGAAATCCCCAACTGAACAAAACCAGAAGCATTAATAGGATATCATTGGGCTATTACATCGGTGTGTGGGGGGGTGTGCGTGTGTGTATTGCCTTAACTTTGAAGAAGTTATTGCTCCGTATTTCTTAATATGGGTGCAAACACGTATAAAGACAGTTAAATAAAATAGAGCAGATAAAGTAGCATAATATTGGATACCTAAAACTTACCACCTAGCACTCTTGGAATTCATAAGTATTTGTAGGACAAAACGCATGAAAGTTGAAGCGAATACCATAAGCTACTACTCCCTCTATCCCACAATGAAGTTTACACTTCCCTTTTTCGCCAATCCCAACAAAACATTTCTCCGTTTTTCTTTTAGGAACAAAAATATGTGGCACAAAAATTACTTTCTTCTAAACATATTCCATCAACATTTTCACTCTTCAACACATTCCTTGAACTCCGTAAAGTCAACCCATAAACTTCATTTTGGGATGGATGGAACATAGTTTTAATCTTTCCACTTTCCTCTTTGATGAGTCCCTAAATAATCTCTTTATTTCGTTTTATGAAAGAATTGAGGTTTATATTGATTATTCATTTATTAACAAATCTCAACCACAGTTTTATTTTACTAAACAATTGAAATGAGTAAATAAGGACAGCAACAACGACAACAACCCAGTTGAATCCCGCAACAACAAAGTCGGGGGAGGTGTGTACTTAGACCTTACCCCAACTAAGAGTAGAGAGGTTGTTTCCCAGTTGAGTAAATAAGGACACAGAGAGTAATTAATGCTCCATACAAATGAACTTGTAAGATCAGAAAATCAAAATTGACCATTATGTAGCCTGGTGAATATTCATAAGTTGTTCATCCGCTTGAAGAAGCAACTCCCAGTTGGTACAATCGCTAATAAAGAAAAATGTTTTATGGAGATAAGGACAGAAAGGCTGGATATTAGTTTCCAGTTAAGAGATGAAGAATGATTAACAGTTGACTAAACAATTGTATTTACATATTACAGCTCCCTACTCTAGTGGGATCTACCTGGGTTGTTGCTGTTGTATATTACAGCTTATACTATGGGGGAGCTTGGCAATGACCTTTTTGGAGATTTTCTTTTTTCTTTTCTTTTCTTTTCTTTTTTTGTGGAAAAAAAAAACCTTTTGGACTAAAGGAGCTGTTTGACTTAGGTCAAGCAGCTATTAGAAGTGTTTAATAAAGAGCTTTTTGAGAGAGATTTATAGTCTCAAAAGCATGTTTTCAAGCTTTTTGAAGCAGCTGTTTTTCATGTTTGGTTTAGTAGCATGTTACTAAACTGGGCTTATGTTTTATAAATACACATAACCATGCTTGGAAGTCTATATACCAAATACCAATGGGCAAAGGGGTAGAAGGAAACATGTATACCTTATAATAGCTCCATTCTGTCTTGTCACCGGCTTTGTATGAAAGAGGATTATCACTACAAAATGCAAGCTTTGCAGAAGAGACATACAAAACCCCCATCACTGGACCAGCTGATGTTGACAAGTAACAAGCAAATGAATCCTGAAGTTGCTCCTCGGGAACCGTCTCAAATGTTTGACGAAATATTTTCTCATATCCGCCTTCAGCTAAAACTTTTGTCCCTTGTGCAAGTCTCCCCAAAGCAGCATCAGCAAAACTAGGCCCAGTTTTCACTATAAAAAACAATTAAAAAGGCTATATATTTTTTCATAAAAATATTCTGGTTACACAAATATTGAGATAAAACAACAAACATGGTAGGACAATAGCAAATTTAAAGTATTACTCACCCATGACAATAATATTAGAGGCTTACAGCATTGACAGAACAAGAGATGATACAAAGCAAAAACGACACCAACATATATTTAGCTCTGATCACACCACAAAAACAAGGAAAGCTGATATAATTCTCGGCTCATATTAGATACAGCAACAACATTACCCCAGTGCCTCAAAGGCTCCCGCCCATTGCGGGGTAGAGGGGTTGGATGTACGCAATCTGACCCCTATGTTTAAAACATAGAGCGGCGGTTTCCGGATGACCCATGATGAGCGTCAAAAGCTGCATTGACTAACTGCTACTTAGAGCGGCTCATATTAGATAGTAGCCTCAAAAGGCAAAAAGAGAAGGCCAAGAGGGGAGATAATGCCAAGCTAAATATTTCTGATGTCACTGTATTCAAAAAAATTAAAGAAAAGATAAATGATCTCTGTAGAACTGTTTGATTGATTATTCACACCATTGTAACTTTCTAAGATGGATACACTAACCTGCCTAATAGTCCAAGGGGGTGCTGTGGTGGGTGTACGTACACACTACCCTACCTAAGATGCATAATTGGTATACTTCCACCGTCCCAGAATAAAATTCTCATTTGCTTTTTCATGAAGTTTAACAACAATAACAACAAAACCTTACTCGCAAGTAACTTGGGGTCGGCTACATAAATCAATAAGAGAATCAAGATCGTCATCCACATTAGTATGCTCTCTCCATTTCTTTGTCCATTGCCATACTCTTGTCCACATTCAAATAAGTCAAATCACCTCCTCCCATGTTGTTTTGGGTTTTCCCCTTCCTCTTTAGCAAAACTCACTTGTCCATCCTTCAATTCTCTCGACTAGTGCATCACTAGGTCTTCTTTGCAGATTGTACATGACTACATGTCTAAACCAGTGCAATTGATACTCTCCCAATTTGTCTTCAATCGATGTCACTTCTACCTTATTTTGCCCTCGTTTCTTATTCTATCTATTCTAGTGTGTCCCGCGAATCCACCGTAACATTCACATTATGTTTCCTTCGTCTTCAAAACATGACATCCCATAGAATCCCAACATCATGTACCACCCAATAGAGCTGGTCAAATCATTGTTCTTTAAAAGTGGTAGAACTTCCCTTCAGCTTCAAAGGTATATCATGACCACAAAAAATCCAGCTGCATTCTTCCACTTCAACCAACCCACCTTTATGTGATGTTCAACATCTCCCTCCAACTCCATATTTTTTTATAGAACCCAAATATCTGAAACAATTACTCAACAGAATATCTTGACCTGCTAAAGTCACCTAACTCTGAACCATGTTTCTGTCAGTACCAAACATGCATTCCAAATATTCCTTTTTACTTATACTCAACTTTAAATTAGACTCTAGCATCTTACTTCACATTTCTAAGTTCTAACTTCTCATTGACATCCTAATTTCTCATTGACATCCGCTCTAGTTTCATCTATCAAAATAATATCACCATAAACAGCATACACCAAGGGACCTCATCTTCAATACTCTTAATTAGCTCATCGATAACCATCACAAAGAGGTATGGGCATAATGCTGACCTTGATGTACTCGATAGTAATAGGAAACTCCCTTCTCATTATTATACTACTTACATTTGTGCCTGCTCCATCATACATGTCTTTCGCAAAGCTTATATACTTTTTGGAAATTCCTTGCTTTGTCAACACCCGCCATTATACTTCTCGAAGATTGAAATGGAGAGTACGCATAAAGTTTCCATTAAGAGGAATAGTAACTTTATTTTAGGATGCCCCCCAAAAAAGGGAACTTTATTAGGGATGGCAAAAGAATTATCTAGACAACCAGCAAATGCAAGGCAAGAAATACATAGGTTTAAGTTGATGAATCAGGCAATTAGGCCCTCAATTGTTAATGAAGATGTATGATTGACCTCAAACATGATCCTGACCACTGGTTATAAAGTGTAATTGTGTAAAAAATGTTATTGACCTGTTGTGATATAAAATAGTGTAAAGATTTTCAAAAATCCTTGTAACCAATAGCCAACTAAAATTGCAACGGAGGTGTAAATAGGAGGGGAAACAACATTACTTCTCATTAATATCCTAATAAAATAAGAGTTTGATTGCTTATCTACATATACTGATATTTTCTCATTACTATCCTATTAAAATACTCCCTCGTTCCCAAAAAAGATTCCTCGTTTCCTTTTTGGTACATCCCAAAAAAGCCTTCTCTTTCCTTTTATGGAAAACATTGAATGGCTCACAATCATTCTCTCTCTTATGCATCACTTTCAACCACACATTTTCACTTTCCTAAAACTTTGTGCCAAGTCAAATTGTGAGCCTTTTCTTGGGACGGTGGGAGTAAGAAACAACATAAGAGCCCAACACCATAATTGTTGCAAAAAGTTTGATCGGTTTGAGGTCATCAATTGGCCAAGACAGAAAGTGTTGTGGCAAATAATCTAAACAAGCAGACACATGAGGGTTTCAGATAAGGGTGAGCACTTCAGTTTGGTTTGACCAAACCGCCAAACCAAATTCAGCGCAAGTTTTGTACTAATATTTTCCCCAAACCAAAACTGGCTATACAAAACCTGAATAAAAATACATTGAACCTCAATAAAACACTAATAAACCAAAAACCAAACTGAAACCAGAGCAAACAAAATATAGATTTAATCTGGACTATATATATCATCAATCTGTTCTAAGCCGGAACAAACTGAACCCAAAAGAATGAACCCAAACCAAAATGCATGCACCTAGTGTAACTATGTTATGGATAAAGCTCAGATGGCTATGCTGGAGATTAACTGAATCAAGTCTTGGGGTGGAAGATTGTTAAGACATTGACAATACTGATACGCCTGATAGTTGAATAATATAATTGATGCATTATGAACACAAAGAGAAGTTTCTGAAAGATGAAAAGAATGCTAAGAAGGTGAAGCAACTGAAACCATTCAGGTGGTAGATGAACAGATTTTGAATCTGCTATAATCCCCCGCCTAGATGACATGGCACATGAAGTGGTGGAAAAGACATTGCAACGGATTTGTCAAGATTTCTATTGGCCAGGAATGTGAAAGATGGTTCGTGAGGCCATCCGCACTGCCAGATATGTCAGTGCACAAAATGGGCAGCCTTGCAACCAGCTGGCTTTTTGAACCCCTTGCCAATCCCAACTTCTGTCTGGGCGGACACTCAAATGGATTTTGTCAAAATCTTGCCACGATTCAGTGGCAATACAGCTATGTTGGTAGTGGTCGACTGGTTCTCTGAGTATGCTCACTTTGTGCCACTCAGTCATCTGTTCATCACCCCATCTATACCGGTCTATTCTGCGATGAGATAGTTCTCTTGCATGGCCTCCCAGAGTCCATTGTTTCTGATTGCGACAAGCTTTTCTTTAGCGTCTTCTGTAAGGAGTTGTTCCACTAATGTGGAACTAAATTGGCCTTCACAGTGACTTGTCATCCACAGTCTCATGGGCAAACCAAGGTAGTAACGGGTAATTTTCCGTCACATTGGGGGAAGTGGACAGTGGTGGAGCACGGTAACAACACTTTCTTTCACTCTTCGCTGAGTGGCATGGCATTCTGCCTGATTTACGGCCGTGCACCTCCCTTTCGCTATACTGCACTGGTGGCTCGATGCGGGTTGATGCCATTGATCAGGACCTGCAGGACTGTGATTTCATATCGCAAGCAGCCAAAGAGAAGTTATTGGCAGCTCAGTCACGCATGAAAAGTGTCTATGGCCAACACCGTCGGGATGTCAAGTTTCAGGAAGAAGATTGGGTATCGTTAAAGTTGCAACTGTATTGCCAGTTCCCGTTGGCCGAAATGAATACCACAAGCTCTTACCATAATTCTTTGGTCCATTTCGTGTGTTTACCGCCAGATAGTTGCATCCATAACACTTATCATGTCTCTCTACTTGACCACACTGGGAACTCCACCAGCTGCATTGCTGCAAGGGGTTCCCTCCCAACCTCCTGCCAGTCCAGGAGAGCAAAGTCCTGTCAACTCCAGAGGCCATTGTGAAAACTCGTATGCACAGAGGTGCCAAAGTTGTTCTTAATCCGTTGGGAAGGGAGCAGTGATTCGGAAGCTACATGGGAACCTCCCGAGACCATGCAGGAGGCGTATCCCAATCCCGTGTTTGAGCTTGCAGACAAGCTCAATATCGAGGGGGAGAGTGGTGTTACCGCTCCCATTGTGTGTATCCAGAACCACCGCAGGAAGCCCAGCAACACTGATGGATATTAGTAGTCAATAGTCATATTGTCTAAGTATCTATTATAACATTCCTTTATTACTATTACATTTTCATACACTGTTATGATTCCTATTCTGTTTCCTAGTCATATAATGATAGCACTCTTCATGTAAGGCTATGCCTATTTATATTCCGCAATATTGTCAATAAACTCTTTATCATTGAGAGATCCTAATTGAGAACTTGTCAGGGACAATTTCCTTCCTCTCTTAGCCATGGGCAAAAAGGAACTACCCTACGTCTTCTTCTTCCTTCATCAGCCGACTGGGAGCACTGTCTCTTAGCAGCAGCATTTACAGTGAACCACAGAAACAACATTTCTTTCCTGATCGCCTTCCTCAACTCTTATATGATCTGCTCCTACTTTTCTCAAACTCTCCACCACTAATATCTCACACCTTACACCCGGGGCATTAATGCTCATGCCTAAATCACCTTAAACTCGATTCACGCACCTTATTCTCCCGGATATCTTCACTTCTAGCCTGATCCATTTTGGTGTCCACCTAAGCATCGTCTTCTCTAATACTCTCAAATTCTTCACTGTGTATGGACTTAAATGGCCAACGATTCTATCTCATTTTAGCATAGTTGGGTTGATCACAAGTCTATACAAAAGTCACGTGTCTCCTATGTGTGATTGTATCATGCCTTGGGGAGCTAGAACACCATTGTGTTTGGGCCCTCAAAAACTATTGTGTGATCGAAAATGAAAAAGAAAAAATGGCTAAAATTACTTAACATTCCAAAGTGACAATCACTACAGCTGAAAATCCCCTCCCACACCCCCACACCTCAATCATTATTGAATAACTCTATCGTTTTTTATGAGGCGCCACACACATAAATTGGCAAGGATTTTGAAAGTAATATCGGATGTGAAGTGTACATTCATGCAATTATCGGCTTCTTGCAAATAAAAAATAACATACGGTGCTGCCATGTGTTCCCCGCAAGATCCTCAGCCTTCTTCGTTGCTTCACCTACCTTCTTCCTCCATCTTCCCAAGACATCTTTAACATTATCCATTGTATCTGAAATCAATAGCTCGATATCAATGCTAATTCCATTATGAACACAAAATTTCTCCATCAAATGAAGCCATTCACACAATCATATTAAAGCCATCAATTGTACAGAAATACTATTCATTCTCGATTCAAATTAGATCAATGCAACAAGTTGCAACGATAAGAGCTTGAATGTGAAGTCATACCCTTTAAGCAATTGTGTATGAATTAAAAAGGTACTCTGTAATTAGATACACTTGTGAAAGTCACAGTTCAATAGAAAATGTTTCAAAAGAGATACAAGGAATTTGTATGCAATGGAACATCATGTTTATCGTGCTATTGAGAGAAAGAGAGAGGGAGAAGGACGGACTTCTGAAATTGGAGGAAGATGGATTATCATTTCCAGAAGCTGAAGAATAACCGACATAAGGATTTGAACGGAGGTCGTCGGAAGACATCGTCCGCGGTATCGGAGATTCCGTCACCAATTCCTGGCTCCACCTCACCGACTTCTTCGATCTATTCAAACCGTTCGCCGACTTTCCCCTCTCAATCTCTTTATAGTTCTCCTCTAAAGCCCTCGAATCGTCGAGAAGCGGCCCCGCTTCACCGATTGAATCCGGATTCAGAACCCGATCCGGCTCCTGCCCCGAACCCTTCGGCTCCGCCTCCGCCTTCTCCGGCGCGGCTACAGTCTTTTCTTCTCCTCCGCCGCCAGACTGGTCCATCAACCTTCCTGAGAGATTCGTATGAAACGCGGATTGCGGCGGCGGCGGCGCGTGAAAGTTTCCTCAGCGGTGTGATAACGATTTCGAGGTTGAAATTCGTAACATTTGACTCTCTGACGGTGAATCGTCGGAGTCGATGGGGTAACCGGTTAAAGCGGTGAAGACCATATACGGTGGGAGGTGAGATGGTGACCGGCGAATTTAACGCGCGAATGGAGCTGTTTTGGGTCGTAGTCTGTGGACTTTGGTAGTTGGAAGAAAATGAGGCGCCTAACCTTTGACTATGGTGAAATTGGGGGAAAGGTAAAAGAAAGTAGCATGCTACATGTACTCTCAAATTTGTACACTATTTATGCACTAAAGGTATGCACCAACATTTTAATAGTTCACGCTGATATAAAGTGTTGGTGCGTTAATAAAAATTAGCATTACACCAACAAAAAATGTTGGTGCATTCTTGCGATATACAAAATGAAATACAAACTTTGGGTACAAATAGCTTTACCCTAAAAGAAAATCCCACTTATCAAATTTGGCCAATAAAAATGAGCCTTTATGTATGATTTTTTATTCTAAAAAGGGGGTGGGGGACTTCAATAGGAATTTTGTGATTATAAATTTAGGTTTATTTATTCTTATTTTTTTAACATTAATAAGTGTATTAAAAAATAGTAACCAAGCTCATAGAGTTCACTATGATGGTATGTTGATAGTATTCTAACTATTAGAGAATGTTCGTCTCTAATTTATGATATTAGTAGAAAATCTCACTACTCATTCATTCACTTTTCATTGCTTTCAAGTAACAGTCATTATTCTAGTGTATGTTGATGGCATTGTAACTATTAGAGGATGTCCGTCTTTGATTTATGAAATTACTGAAGCTATGCACTAGACTTTCGTCAGAATGATTTGGGCCATCTAATTTTTTTCATCGACATTGCAGATCAATGTGCCAATGATTTTATTTTTCTTCATCAAACAAGATATATTGTCGATCTTCTCACACAGGCATGGAGGACAAATTGCAAACCTACATAAGTGGCAGTTTGGACGACTCTAGCATCATCCACACTATTATCAAATCATACTCTTTTTTAGTTTTTCGTAACATTGTTGGTTGCGTGCACTATCTAGTTGTTACTTATTTAGATATACGACACTATACAACTAATCAGATGTCTTAGACCATGCACAACCTCATTTGACTAAAATACCAATCAGATGTTTTAGAAAGGGTATCTCGGCCCCTCTCTTTACTTTTATAATGATGTTTGGACCAATGAAAAAGGTGATCAGAAATTCAATGTTGGTTTCCTTCTCATGTCCTAACCTCATTTCTTGGTGTACAAAGAAGCAAACTTGTGTTTCTCGATCCTCCACTAAGACTGAGTATCGCATTATGGTCGTGGGAGTGGTAGAAGCTATGTGGCTAGACTATGATATTGGTTGCCTCAGTATTCCACCCCATAACCATTATCTATTGTGAATTTGAATCAACTATCTCACCAAAAATTATACTCCGGAGTAATCTCCAGTATCATATGAAGCATGTTTGATTCAGATTGTCACTTTGTACGAGGCAAAATCATGACTAGAACCCTGCATGACCACTCATCACGCACCTTTTATATAGCTACTTACAGATTTAAAAAAACTGCTCCCGTCGATTTCATCTAAGTATATGTGCTCCAAATTGCTCATCTACACCGTTGATTAGTTTGTGGAGAGACAATAGGGGATATACTTTATTTTACTTACTTTCCATATTATGTTATAATTTTTGTATTTATATATTAGAGTTAAGAATCTCTTTATATAAATACTGGTGGAATATAACCTTCTACTTTATTCGATAAAATCAATAATTATCAAGTATCAGAGAAATTTGAAATAATGGTTTTTAATCATTATTGACGGGAGTGGCCAAAAACATGGACGACGATGGTCGTAGCCCTTGGCTAGAGTAGTCAATGGTTGAAGAAGATAACAAACAAGACTAATCTCTTATTTGATACATCCCAAATTCAAAATAAATCAAAACATTCTCTTTAGAAGGGTTTTGATATTTAGATACATCATTTCCAAAATATGTCTAGACTTCACGTTAGAATATAAAAAACATTTCATAAGAGTTGGAAAAGAACTACGCATGCATGAGTGTGTCTTAGAATCAATACACAAAAATCATTATGATCTTTAGAGATATCAAAATCAATATAGTTTTTTACTAAGCATGCTCTAAACATGTGGTGCATAATACTTACTATATATGGTTTGTATTTTGCATTTGGAAATTGAATGTCTTAATGAATACTACCTATAATGGAATTATAGTTCATTTGAATTGACTTGTTTTCACAATTTATCTTATATTACACTACTTCGATTACCTCATTTGCATCAGTTTCATATAAAGTCGATGTAAATGGGATAATAAATTTCTCCAACCGGAGGTATTTGAACCGGTTATTAGCAATAACCGATTCAAAAGCCTTTTGAATCGACTATTACTAATAACCAATTCAAATACTTCTCGTCTTTTAAATCGGTTATTAGTGATAACCGATTCAAAAGGCTTTTTAGTGTGTTATTGTTAATAACCGATTTAAATGACTTGATAAAAATAAGCCACTGGAGCCTTATCTCTTTACGCGGTTTTATTTTTTCTTCGTTGCTACCATCCCTCGTCATTGTCGTCCTCACCGTAGTCTCCTGTACGCCGTCGCCTCCTCTCCTCGTCGCTTGTTCGCCTTTGTCGTCGTCGTCATCCTACTTCGGTGTGTCTCTCCAAGCTTACCGTCCTTCAAACCCTAAACCTACCATCCATCCTCCAAGAACACCATCATATTCTCGCATTGGCATCCCATCACCGATGCCAGCTACCTAACGTCGCCGACGCTATCTCCAATATTCCCTAGTGCCGTCACCACCGCCGCCGCTGCCACCACCTTCAATTCGCTATTCTTAGGTATTTTTCAATTTTTCACTTTAAATCTTAAATTATACTATTATTTATTTGTATATTTTTGTAACAATTGATTATTTGATTCTATATCATAATTTATTTTAATATTTTTTCTCTAAATCCTAAATATAATTTTAATTGTTTGTATATTCTTGTATTAATAGAATATGTGATGTTATAAATTGTTTAATGTATATTCTTGTATTAATAGAATATGTGATGCCATGTTGTTTAATTTATTTAGTCTTTATTTACTTGTTTGATGTTACCCGGAACATACATTGTATATTATTTATTTGTTGGAGCTGAGCTACTAATTTGAGATTCTTTTATCTAAAAATAACATATATCGACTGACCTAAATACTCGTTTAAAATTTACTCTGGGGGAAGGCTTTTTGAATCGATTGTTTGGGAACTACAGATTAAAAAAGGTCTCCTCAAGACTGACACCAATTATGAGGAGGACTTTTTGAATCGGTTATACAACCAATTGCATTGCTACATTTTGCATCGTGTTAGACAATAATACTAATAGTACTTCTTGTAGTATTGGTTATGGTAGTGTTTCATTATTAGTCAGCTTCCTAATCCTATTTATGGTAGAAGTTGTATTTTAGTTAGTTTCCATTCTCTATTCCTAGTTGTGTTAGGAGTCTCTCCTATTTATACTCTATCATGTAATTCATAATTTAATAAGCAATATTATTATTTCAATATTTCTACATGGTATCGGAGCCACCGATCTTGGTGACCTAAAAAAAAAAGTTCTTTGCTCCCACCGCCGCCGCCGGCAATTCCGGCGACGGCGGCTCCACCCTATTCACATGTATTTTCTTTTTCTTCTTTATCTTCAAATCAACTTCTCCATTCAAATGAAAAAAAAGAAAAAAACCCCTCTTGAAATCACAAAAGAAAACTATCAAAGGAGGAACTTCTCTCTTGTCATCTCCATGGTTCTTCAAAAAAAGCCCAACTTCTAAAAAACTCTCTCAGATCATCCTATCTTCTCAAAAAAAGGAAAAAAGTGATTGTTGTTTCTCTCCAATTCACCATATCAAAATCTCAGACCCAATTTTTTTTT